GGCGCGGACGTGCGGGACATCCTGGAGCTGGGCGGCGTGGAGTCAGAGAACACGGGCACCATCAACAAGAAGGATATCATCAACTCGGATAAGGTGAACTGCGGTGCCCTGAGGAGCTGCTGCTTGTTTTCTGGGCACTGACTGACCTTGCATGTGGTGTCTGGGGTGAATATTGGAAAAAAGATGTAATAAAGCATGTTCCTGCCATAGTCCATTTATATTTGGGCTTCCTAGGAGTGTCTAGAAATGCCTGTAGGGCCCCACTCCTGCGTTCCTGATGTTCTTGGTTAACTGCGCTGTGGCACGTGGGGCTGTGTTTAAGCTGGAGCTGTCTAAGTGGTGTCCTGGTGAGCTGGGCCTGGCCTCAGTGCACTTGCAGCTGTCTCAAAAATTCACGTTTTGTGGAGTAAGTGTGAAGTGTGTTTACTATCTAGCCACCAAGCAGATGGAAATAATATAACACAGTCCTGTCTTAGAAGGAAAAAACATTGTCTGACTTGATTAAACAATAAATGTCTTCAAATGACAGAAGCAGTCCCCAAGGTGGTGAAGGTGTGTGGCTGGGGTTTGGGAGAACTGGGAGGTGTTGCCTGTGGGAATGCTGGCAGGTTAGTGAGCTCTGTTATGGATGTACGCTGTCATGAGCTGTGTTCTGTGTGGTAATTTGCCATGGTCTGTTGTTGCCTTCTGTATTTTAAACTTGGGCGAGATCTTGGCTGCCCCATACTTTGCAAGGTGTTGGCAAAGTCAGTTCACAAGTAGTTATGAGATGTGGAGGCGCTTGGAAACGAGCTGGGGGGAGATGAAATCCCCAGGAGCTCTCTGTTTGTTTGGGAAAAATACAAGAAAAAAAGAAACATATGCTACCACCTTATCCCTAAAAGTACTTCCTGACTGTCTTTGTTTGGCTGCACTGAAATGTTTGTCTTTGAAGAGAAGCACAGTGGTTTCATGACTGCCTTACTGGGGATAGGACACACAGTATAGTTACTGTGATGGAAAACTGATGAGTTTCAGTGATTTAAAGGCTGAAATGTTAAAATTGTCGATTCTCAGCTGTGTTGGTGGATAGTGTGTGCGGTGAGCAGCTCGTCGGTAGGATTCAACCTGTGATTTTGCGCCACTGAATGTTTGGAGTTATAAGTCCTTTAATTTAGATGCATTTGTCTGTTAGCTAGCAGAGAGCGGAACGAGTACTGGTGGCTGTCTGTCTCTCTTTTGGAGCAGAGAATAAGATGGGTTTCTCCTGAAATTTACTGTAATGGAAAGAGAGAGGAAGGGGAGGTGCAGTGAGGGTGTTTAGGGGGAGTGCAGGAGGCTGCTTGGAGCTGTGAAACATTCTGAATTTCTACAAAGTACAGAAACTAAATCAAACCAAAGGTATAAGCCATTGTTGCATGGAGAGAGCAAAATTGCTAATAACAGTGCGGCACTTGCTCAGGAAGTAGATCTGTTCTCAATTAGAAAAGAAACAGATTGATGTCTTTAAATCACAGGAGAACCATGAAGTACTTTTCAGTCCATTAGTGACTGAGAATGTTAAAATAAAAATTACTAGGCATAAAAACATTTAAATCAGCAGGACCAAGTAATTTGTTCTCAACTCCTAAAAGAGCTGGCTGAGCTGATCTCTGGCCTGCTGATACTAACTTTTAATAAATCTGTGAACTTTGGGGGAATTCCAGAAGCCTGTGTTCAAACAGGGTGTGTGGTGACCTGCAGGTAACTGCCTTGGTTGGCCTTACATCGCTCCTGGGCAAAGTGATGGACACACTAGGAGAAAGGTGTTTGATTAGGAGTAAAAAGGTGCTGGTATAATGAATGTCTGTCGTGAAGTTTTATGGAAAGTAGCTGTAGTCCAAGATGATAGATTATTATTTTTTAGTAGGATTTGGAATTTGCTTGAGAAAGGTGACTGTATGGCTTTAATACTAATTATGTTACAGTTTTACTACTGCAAAATACTCTGATTTAAAAGTTGGTAGCGATATGGTAAATGAGTACTTAAAAGTAGTGACATGGCTAGTAGTTATAAAGATGGTACCATTAGACCAAATGCTCTGGACTGCTCAGCAAGCTTGGCCCACTTAAATAAAGTGTCCCTTGGTAATGTGACTGTCACTGTGTCTACCTGAAGCCAAAGCTGATTACTTTATAAACTTGTATATGTGATATGACGTGAACTGTGTCTTAGAAACCATCATTTCTGACAAGGTTTTAGGGGCCAGATTGAGTTGCCTGCACTGAATTGCTAGTGTGAAGAAACTATATTAAAAAAAAACCCCAAAACAATCTTTGCTGTATAAATGGGAGAGCAGAGGCAGGAGCAGAGGTTTACTTTTGTAGGTGATACCAGTAGTTTTGACGTGAGGCTACTGCAAGTGCTTGATCACAACTGGTAAAAACTGAAGTTACTGTAAAACAAAATGAAAAAAAGTAAGAGAAGGAAGGATGACATTTCTTATTATCTTCTCTAAAAGGTAATCACTTAATTAAATGCATTAATACCTTCACGTGAGGACAGTGCCTTCCTAGTAAAAAAAAGGCTTAGTGCACCAGCCCCTGAAAACTACAGCCAGATGTTCAACTTGGAATTTAAGTGTGTGTTATCAGCAACAGCAGTGTCTGAGTACTGGTGAGGGCTATCACTGAAAGCGTGTGCGTTTTGTCTGTCAGTGTCCACCAAGAACAGGCACTTTCCTGGAGAAATTAAAGGTGTCTAAAACCAGATAAAAGTGAAAACTATCACAGGGTGCCAGGTTATGTAGTTCCCTCGGGGATTGTTACTTCTGAGTCTAAAATGTAGTTTGTTTGTTTTTTACAGAAAAAATCTAAGAAGTCTTCAGAGACGTTGACGTTTAAGAGGCCAGAAGGGATGCACCGAGAAGTTTATGCACTCCTCTACTCTGACAAAAAGTAAGAGCTTATGGTCATCTGTGCAGGCTGTGGGGTAGCCTGGGCTTTTGGAGGCAGGGCAGCATGCCCTTGAAACCACGGGCAGTCTCACTTCCCAGATTGATTCCCCTTTGTACTTGGCCTGTGCCTGTGCCCTTCTCTCTTAGACAGTCATGGACAGTGTCTGTCTTCTCTCTTCTAAATTTGAGGGGTTTGCTCTGTGTAGGAGATGAAATAGGTACAGGCACAATAGTCCAGCGCAGACAAAGCAGTGCTCTTACCCTTCTGTATCTAATTCTCTTTTATCCACAACTGGGAATAGCACCTACTTTTATCTCTGCAAAAAGAGTCCTGCTGCAGCCTGTATTTAACTCGTTATGGATTGTGCCCTTGCCCCAGAGGTCTCTTGCATGGTTTGCTTTCCAGATGGTTCTGTTCAAACCCACCCGTGCTGTGTATTCTGTCCTGATGCAGGAAGCATTGCAGTCTGGGAAGTACAAAACCTGGAATAAAGCTTAAACTTAGGTTTTCCCGCCCTAAACATTGTGGTGGCAGATCCTACTCCGAGTCTGAAATCTCTTTGGGTTTGTTCTGGGCTGCTTCTTGCTTCTCATCAGCCATTGCTTTTCTCCACCCCAGGGATGCACCTCCACTGCTGCCAAGTGATACAACTCAGGGTTATCGAACAGTCAAAGCAAAACTGGGGTCCAAGAAAGTCCGACCTTGGAAGTGGATGCCTTTCACCAATCCAGCGAGAAAAGACGGAGCGATGTTCTACCACTGGAGGAGAGCAGCAGAGGAAGGGAAGGACTACCCATTTGCCAGGTTCAATAAAGTAAGTGGGAGCACTTTCGAACAAAAGCATATAAATAGCAGCTGGAAAATACCCTTCAGTCCGCTTCTCCAGTGTCCAGAGAGGAAGTTGGTTCTTTCAACAAGTGAAGGTCGAGTTAGATTTGGCAATTGCATTTTAAATTGCAGCGTGGCCTGCAGCCATGTGACCATGGACTATGATGTCTCCAAATCATTGAAGCTAAGTGGGCTCAGGATGTGGTCAGAGCTTGCTAGAGCCCCCTGTGTTTCAGGTGTGCGGTCGCTGACTTGGTAAGGAGACGCTGACATCTAATTCAGTTCCCAGTCAGCACCCTCCCCCTGATTACAGGCTCTGGATAGTAAAAGATACTCTATTCTGAGTGAGGCTTTAAAGTCATAAGTCTTGTTATTTTGCCCAGTATGAAAAAAGTCGCTTGAGCTTCGTGGCCAGAAAACTGTCTTGCAGCCTCTTGGCCAGATTCCAGCACAGACGCTGAATTATGCTGTGTTCCCTCTGAAATTGCTCCTGTGGTATCAGTGTGGTGCAGGACCCTGTTCTTTGCGTCTTGTATTAAATTGTCACATGTGTTGTTGTAATCTCCTGCTGTCTTTTGTCCCAGATGTATCTGCTTTGAGTGGTTGAGGCTTTCATGTGTATACACAAAGAAAACTACATCAAGATTTATACTTCAAAGTCAGGACCTCCAGATTTAGGAAGGAGCAGAGTTAGGGTGCCGCCGTAATGTAATTTAAGCCCCTTCATCATGCAAATCTGAAGGGGAAAAAAAAAGGGTGTGCCAACGTGATTCTACAAAAGCTCTGCTTGCGTGTCACTGTATACAACATTTTAAGTTTGTAACCCACAGAGCATCAGCTCTAACAAAGCCTGGCTTCCTGCAGAGTTAAGTGGTTGGTTGACCTGATATGTTAGAAGGCTCAAGCTCTGACTGATGCTTTTCCTCTTGCTGGGACATTGGTAAGAGCCTCCTGTGGTATCTCTTCTCTGATGTCTAAGGTGGAAGTCTGAAGTGTGACTCTACTTAGTCAAGGCACCTACCTAGCTGTCTGAGTGGAACTTTGGGAGTGTAATTGTTTCTAAGACTCTACTGCTGTAACAGTTTTCGGCTGAGTTCAGCTGAGTTTATCAGAGGGGACCACACATGGGTGTTGTAATGATATGATTCTTGTTTCCTTAACTTTTATCATGTACCGTGAATTGACAGACTGAAGAGCCTTCAGCAAGGCTGCAACCTTTAGATTAGTGGTAGAGACTTCTGCCATCTGTGCTTGAACAATTTCTTAATGCTAGGAGCAAGTTGTTAACCTTGTGGATCCGTGGTGGAGAGGGTAGAAGGCACTGATGAGGTGTTTTGCAGATATTTGCCATGTCAGAGAAATTTTATTTATTTATTTTTCCAGACTCTTCTGTGGGTTCCTTCTCACATACTTGACACCTCTGCCCGAACCTCTCGCTCCCCTTGGTGTGAGCCCATTTTCCTGTGTAGTCTGTCCTATTGGTCGCTCAAGCTCTTTAACCTGGCTCCTGTGTCACTGCTTTGCCTTTTCTCTGTATTTCCAGTCTCCAAACTCCCTCCTCTTCATTGTGAGATCCAAAATGTAAACTTAAATTTTGCAGTTTACACTGAGCCTTGATCCAGGGTGTGAAATAGGAATAAAAAAGCAGCTTCACTGGTTCCAGAGAAAAGGCCTCTCTCAGCCAATATTCTGTTTGTGGCAACCATTAGTCAAGGCTTAGAGACAGAGCATGAGAATGGGGCAAATACACAGCATTTTTTTTTTTTTTTCTACTTCTGATGGTCTTTGACTTAAGGATTTCCTAACTTGAAATTCGTGTTTAATAATTCTTACAAGGTATGTTCAAGGCAGAAAGCTGCTTTGTGACTATTCCATGGTAATGACTTCTTCAGGTGTGCAAAGGTGTTTCTTCTGTTCATTTTAAACTGCTGTCTTGGGGTTTTGTTTGGTGCCTCTGAGATCTTGTGTTACATGGTGTTGTAAATTGTCCTTGCTGTGTACGGTGCTTTCTGTAATTTGACGTACATCTGTCCTTCTGTGCCCTGTCTCACCCTTCTTGTTCTCAAATATCCTTTCTTTTGAAATGAGTGGATTGGGAGTGAGAGTTTCACTTATGAAAGCTTGGCGGGTTTGTACCTTGGCTGTGTTTCTCTTTATTTCCCTGATCATTTTTACTGTTTGGTTTGTCATTTCACCACTACTAGGCATTGTGCTGATGTTTTCACAGAACTGTCTGATGGCTCCAGGATCTTTCCTGAGCAGTTTCAGCTGATTTAATGTCCATCATTGTGTGAGTTTATACTGTGAAATGTACAACTGAGAGGGGTTTTCTGGACCATTGAATCATCTTCTTGGCTCTTTCAGGTCCTGCACCATCCAGTCCCTTTCATAAACTGATAAAGTTTCTTTTGAAAAGCACTTGGATTTTCCTGCCCCTCATGCTTTCTTGGGAAGTTGTTCCAGACTGTCTCTGCTCCATTTCTCATTTCCAGGTTAAATTTTCCATGTTAAATTGACATTTCTTTGCAAGCCCATTTCTTTATCCTTATTTCATTTGTTCTTTTCTTCCTGTAGGTATTCCTTTCATTCCATCTAACATATTTGAAGCCTGCAGTCAGATTCCCTTTCAAACCTCTTTTGCTAGGCTCCTTTCTCTTCCAGTCTGCTGTGGGAAGACAAGCTCCCCACCCCATTACTCATCCTCGTTGCTCTTCTCTGTACTTGTTCCCATTTCAGTTCATCTTTCCTGAACAGGGGTCAGTAGAGTTGTAGTTGGTATTCCTGCCAAGGTCTTGTTGTGCAACTGAAACCCTGCCAATTTCTGCTGGAAATCCCTCTCTGGGGGTCATATTTGCATTTTCATGGCTACATTGCATTTGAACTTGTAGGCATCCCATGGTTGGCTCAAACTTTCCATCTGATGTGTTCCTACCTTTTCACTTAGCAGTTCTTACCTGAGAAGCCATGAGGGGGGCTGAGGAAGTGTTTTGGGGACTACTTTTTGCTCTTGTCCCATTCTCTTCTTTGATCCTTTCCATCTACTGCAGAGGACCCTGGTGGCTCTTTTCATGTACGTATGCTACTCTAGAAAATACTTTTTTTTATGATGTACATAGGACATCCTTACCGTGTCTAGCAGGGTGTCTTTTCTCCTGGTGGAAGTGATACTTGAAGGCTGAAGTGCAGTGCATCCCCAAGAGGTATGCTTCACCTTTAAACTTCTATGTCTAAGTGCTGGAGGAAGGGCAGTAGACATAAAGAGGCTGTTATTTGGAGACTCAGAAATGCTCCCCTGAGCTGTATGGAGTCCATGAGGATGACTTTTCTGGTGTAGGACTTGGGAGGGGACAGAAGTGTCGAAGCCTGTGTACTGCTGGCATGCACATGATGTTTTCTTGTGGAGGCAGAACCTCCTCAGGCCGAGAAAAGTTCCACTGGAGGAGTGGTGGGAGAGGGTGAGGGAGGAAAGCACAGGCTTTTTTGCACTTTCGCTTCACCATGTGCTAGGACTTCCCCTAATACTGTAAGTATTTTTACTGTTCCTTTGGTCCTCACGTGACACTTGTGCTCTGGATGGAGCCCTTGCAGAGCAGTTCCAGGCTGGGAATAGTGGTGTGGGTTTGGCCTTTTAGGCGCCTGGGACACTCCCAGAGTTGGACTGTTGTTTGTCCCTGTGGCTCTGCTGGAGAAAGGGTGGATGAGGAACGAAGGGACAAAGTTGCTTACCGAGTTTATGGTCCTCAATTATACAACATCCAGCCTTTTAGATCTTCATAGCACTGTCTGCACCAAACATGAAAGAAGTGGGTTGTATATCAAAGCAGAAGGTGTGCTGAAGGCTAGGGTACAGCTCCTCACCTCTCCTGTTCTTCCTGTACAAGTGGGCATGTCCCAACCCAAGTAAAGAATCGACTGTCAGAGCAGTTTATGCCAAGGTGTTGGTGCTGC